CCAAACAGGACGTACATTACACAGGAGGAAAAGGCAATGCCAGGACACAAGCCTATGAAAGACAGGCTGATGCTAATGTTCTGTGCTAATGCTAGTGGGGATTTCAAAGTGAAGCCATTACTAGTGTACCATTCTGAAAATCCCAGTGTGTTCAGGAAAAACAATGTTATGAAGAGTAAATTGTGTGTGTTTTGGAAATCTAATAGTAAGGCATGGGTCACGAGGGAAATTTTCGTCGAGTGGTTCAATGAAGTGTTTGGCCCTAGTGTAATGGAGCATCTCCTGGAAAAGAAATTGGATCTCAAGTACCAAGAAAGGGAGTGAGGGTTTTGTCCAGCCAAGAAGCAAGAGAATAAGAGACAGAACCTCTAGAGGATATAAACCATACCACGGGTGGGGTTTGAACCCGCGGTCAGTCTTAAAACTCCAGACCATCACGTTAGCCACTGGGCCATATGGGAGGATATGATGGGACGCAGAGGAATATCAGGTTTACGAGTTTTGGGAGGCCATAAAAATAGGGCAGAGGGGGACACACGACATGAAAACATTTAACAAGGTCAAAGTCAGGAGGACAGCGGTCGGAAAGTCCTTAGTTCCTCATTGAAAGTTCTCTTGATGCAATCAAGCAAAAGAGCTAATCAGGTCAATACCAGCATGAGGGGTAGGTGAAGTGGCAAAGGAAAGACCAAAACCAAGAAGTTCAAGCTCATGTTCAGAGTGTGACAGAAGACAGATTAGTAACAGTCAGTAAAGGAGAATTTAGACCAAGGGCTGAGATGAGATGTTGAAGTTTATTCTGAAGGTTAGAGTAATGAATTTGTGAATTCAAGCAAAAAGTGTCAAAAGCAATGGTAGTGAGAAGGATACAGAGATCTTGTGGAAGAGAAGCAGAGACCACGTTGATGCTGATGGAGAATAAAGAAGGCATCTTCAACCTGAGACTTAGTAGAAAGAAAGAGCTGCTGAAGTAGGAGACAGGCATGATTGCCCAGTGGGCTGCATTTCAGGAAATGGGAGGAAGAAAGGGGGCAAAACTTGTTCAGCAAGACAGTCACATAGAAAGTGAAGATGATTCTTACAATGCCTGGAAGTAATAAGAGCAGCCTCAGAACAAAAGAGGGATTTGAAAGTAGGAAGAACATTAAAAAAGTTGGAAAGAATGAGACGCTTACCCACTCTTAGTATTCGACTGACTCCACTACCACCACTATTACCTCTACCACTACCTCTCTTGTCCCATCCCTATCTGCTGGCTTACATATACAGTGGACCCCCGGACTACGAAATTAATCCGTTCCAAAGTGACTTATCCCAAATCTGATTTATTCCGAATTAATTTTCTCCATAAAAAATAATGGAAATCCAATTAATCAGTTTCAGACACCCAAAAGTATTAAAATGTTTTCTACATGAAATACACATTTACCTACACAGAAAACAATGATACATGAAGAATAAAACAATAACATCACACTTACCTTTATTGAAGACATGGTGATGTATGGAAGACGGGAGGAGGGGAGAGGATGGAGTAGCTTACAACTGTTTGAAAGGGGAATCCCATTCCATTAAGACTTCAGGTACCAAGTCCTTCTCCTGGGTTACTTCCCCCCTTTGTTTTTTAATGCCACTAGGACAAGCTTGAGAGTCATTGGACCCGTCACTCAAAAAAGTTTTCCAAAGAGGTCTGTTTCTGTCATATGTTAAGAATTGTGTTGGGAGACAGGACAAGGTAGTCTTTCAATATGACACTAATATCAGCTCTACGGCTTATTTATCTAGCACAATTTATCTAATATTACGTAATAAAAAATATTAACCCTTTCAGGGTTTTTGACGTACTAGTACGGCTTACACACCAGGGTTTTTGACGTATGTACTAGTACGCCTAAATTCTAGCGCCCTCAAATCTAGCGAGAGAAAGCTGGTAGGCCTACATATGAAAGAATGGGTCTATGTGGTCAGTTTGCGCAGTATAAAAAAAATCCTGCAGCGCACAGTGTGTAATGAGAAAAAAAAAATACTGACTATTTTTGGATTAAAACAGCGACTTTGCACTGTATTTTCGTATGGTATTTATTGTTGTATTCTAGTTTTCCTGGTCTCATTTTATAGAATGGAAGACATATTACAGAAATGTTTGATTTTTACCAAAGTTCAAAAGTAAACAAATCGTGCTAAGTATCCAATACACATCAACTGGCGAGTCTAATATTCTTTCACAAATGCACTGATATTATTTATACCATTTCTACACTAATGCAGTAGTCTGCATAACAGTAAAATCTATTTTTTTGTGAGAATAAAAATTCAAAGTGGAAAGCAAAAGAATGTAAGAGGGGCATGGGGACATGACTAATGAATAGAGGAAATGTTATTTTAGTGCCAGGAATGTCTTTCTTGTTTATTTTGGACCCTGTTTGGAAATTGGTATCTTTTGAAATTAGTGTGAAATTTTCAAAACTGCTAAATTCTGACCACTGTATTGGATAGTCGAAATTGGTAAATGGGTGGTTTCTTGTACTCATTCGATAGAAAAAATGGAGTTCTAGCGATCTAGTTATGATTTTGTCGAGTATTACACTGGAATTGGCCGAAAATAGGGCTCAAAGTGGGCAAAATCGCCAATGTGTAAACATCCTCGAGACCGCTAATTTCGTGAGAGCATAATTCCGTAAGTTTTCCATCAAATTTCATACTTTTGGTGTCATTATGATCGGGAAAAAGAGTATCTTTTCATAAGAAAAATAATTTTTATTTTTTAAATTGGGTAACCCTGAGAACAAGTCTGGGAGAGGGCCTGGGGACCCTGAAAGGGTTAATAACAAAAACATGACATACTCTAGAATGAATAAAATACGTCATTAAGTATGTCACAAGTGTTGTTGGGTGTATAAGGGCCACTGAGAGCATAAGCTGTACATAATGGTGGTGAAGGCCAGCTGGGGCAGTAGAAACGGTGGTGTCATCAGTCGCCTTACATAACTCCAACAACGGAGGAGTTAGGTTCGTGCTGTCCTCTTTCTTTCGATTAATTGCTTAACTTACTTGCTACAGTTAATGCTACACTATCACTTCCTGGCGCTATATCCTTTAGAGACTCCTGCTGCTTTAGTATCTTACATATTGCAGAATCACTGAAAAAGGCACATTCTCCCCTCTCTAAGCCCTTTACCAAAAGGCTGGCTGGCACTAGCTTTCTTTGGGCACATGGTGACTTATTTAGCAGTTACAACCATTAAAAAGAATGGAATACAAAATGTATCATATGAACGAGTGGGATCATCCTCACTGGCTGGTAAACGTTGGCACACTGGGCAGCTCAGGCCCTGACACAAATGACTTATACCGAGTTCAGTGACATTCACCAAGCCAACATTTTGACGCAAAAATGTTACTTATTCCGATTATTACTTATTCCGATGACGTCTTAATCCGGGGGTCCACTGTATTCCCTCCTCTCCGTTTTGTTAGTGTGACTTTGTAAATGGTCCAAGTCGGACTGAAACGTCATCGTAAGCTCCTCTCTTCTATGTGTGAGTTATCTGTGTAGAAAAACCATACGAAAAATACACCGCAAAATCACTGCCTTAAACCAAAAAGTTTTTTCCCCTCAGTATGCACTGCGTGCTGCAGGAATTTTTTTCACATGGTGCACACTTACGGGATAAACCTCATTCTCTCGCTTCTAGGCCCAAATTTACTGTTCACAACTTATCTGAGTGAGCAGAGATCATGGCATAGTACTACAGCAAGGAAATAGACCTCAAACTCACAGTACTGTGGCACGGACGCCAAAGGGATTAATGCTAAACTATAGTCTATTTAAAGGGAATGCTCATAACTATTGGTAAAGTATACAAAAAAAAATATTAGATACAGATTAAGCATAAATTTTAACCCTTTCAGGGTCGGCAGGCCCTCTCCTAAATTTGTTCTCGGGGTTGGAAATTTTTTTGAAAAAAAAAAAAAAATTCTTATGAAATGATAAGAGAATCTTTTCCTTATCATAATGACACCAAAAGTATGAAATTTGATGGAAAACTCGTGGAATTATGCTCTCGCGAAGTTAGCAGTCTTGACGATGTTTACGCATCAGCGATTTCGCCCACTTTGAGCCCTATTTTCGGCCAATTCCAATGTACCAGTCGACAAAAATCATAACTTTCACTAGAACTCCATTTTTTATATCGAATGAGTACAAGAAACCACCCATTTACTGGTTTCAACTATCCAATTAAGTGGTCAGAAATTGGCAATTTTGCCAATTTCACACAAATTTTAAAAAGATGCCAACTTCCAAATAGGGTCCAGAATAAACAAGAGACATTCCGGCACTAAAATGACATTTCCTCAGTTCATTAGTCACGTCCCCAGGCCCCTCTCACATTTCTTTTGCTTTCCACTTTGAATTTTTATTCTCACAAAAAATAGATTTACTGTTATGCAGACTACTGCATTAGTGTAGAAATGGTATAAATAATATCAGCGCACTTGTGAAAGAATATTAGACTCACCAGTTGACATGTATTGGACGCATGGCATGTTTTGTTTACTTTTGAACTTTGGCAAAATTTGAACATTTCTGCTACTCTGAGCTCAATTTCAAGGTACTTTTCATTGTGAAACCAATCAAAATCATCTCAATTTCCATAATATGTCTTCCATTCTATAAAATGAGACCAGGAAAACTAGAACACAACCATAAATAGCATACGAAAATACACTGCAAAGTCGCTGTTTGAAACCAAAAACACAGCGAGTTTTTTTTCCTCATGATGCACTGTGTGCTGCAGGATTTTTTTTTTTATACTGGACACTGACCCATTCTTTCATATGTAGACCTACCAGCTTTCTCTCACTAGATTTGAAGGCGCTAGAATTTATTCGTACTAGTACGGCACCAACCCTGGCATGCAAGCCGTACTAGTATGGCACCAACCCTGAAAGGGTTAACAAGGTATTATAAAACTTGCATTTATCTAAGCCAAGCTTACCTGCCATCCAGCCCCCTGACAGCATCCTCAGCATCACGAACATCTTCAAATTCAACAAAAGCAAATCCTGGAGGATTGCGAGCTACCCATACATTCCTCAATGGACCATAGTATGAGAAAGCTTCCTCGAGCTCTTGTTTTGATGCTCCTGAGCCCAAGTCTCCAACATACACCTTGCAATCCAGTGATGCTGGCATCTTAGTACATGTAATAGGTCACCCTGTTGGGGGGGAAAAAATATCAAATTAACTTTAGAGTATTTTATCAAACACCAGTAAAATCACCAATGTCACCAAATCAGCAGCCTCCAATATGTTTAGTAAAACTACTGGCAAACAAATTTACAGGGATACCTTGATTTACAAGTTTAATTCGCTCTGTGACTAAGCTTGTAACTCAATTTGCTCTTGTATCAAATAAATTTTCCTCACTGAAATTAACTGATATGCCATTAATCCATTCAAGCCCCCAAAAAACCACCCCAATTTAAATTACTTCAATAATAAAGGCTAGGTTTCATGTAACAAGTCAATAACTTACTTCCTAGATATTAGCCTAGAATGCCAAGCCAACCTCCTAACAGGAAAAAAAAAAATCCTAGGAAGTCGCTTTTCTTTCAGCGTTTTCCTTATGGAACTAGTGATCTAGTGCAGTTAGCCTCACAAAAACTGTTTTCTCTTACCCAAGACCACAGAAATCATTACAGGAAGCAGCAGTAATTGTTTTGTGTGTGGGATTGGTCGTGAACACTCACCATATGGGCTATTTTATTCATTCTCGAGTATACATCATGTTTCTATGCTATTTATATTGTTTATGTCATATTAGATCAATTGTGACAAATAAGCTGTAGAGTTGATATTAGCATTATACTGAAGTATATTCTCCTGCCTCCCAAGAGCCAGGAATTCCACTGACATCAGCTAATATTCCCAGATAGTTCCTGACTGACTGCCCGACTATGTATTAGCTCCACCCATGCTCTTATGATGCCAAATCATCAATCATATTAGAAAGAATAATACAAGGAATAGAAGAAAAAATCCCAAAAAATTTACGGGATGTGAGCAGTCACGTTGCTAGCGGTGGTGTGACCATACATGATATAAATGAGTAATTCCGTGTGCGGGGGACATCATACAACACTGATTCTTATACCATTCTGTTGCCTGCGAGTTAAACTATTTTTCTATATGATTAACTCAATTTCCATAATTTTTTTTTTTTTTTTTTTTTTTTTTTTGCACACGCACCGTGCACCCCATGCCTCCCCTGAAGCTTGCTTGTGACTCAGATTTTGACTCGATTCAAAGCAAAAAACTGACCGAGCGATGGCTCGGAACTCAGAAAACTCTTAAGTTGGGGCACTCATAAGTCAAGGTACCACTGTACGTATTTAGGTACAAGTACAATTATCATACATAGTGTACATAGCCTAGGATAACCAAAGAAATTCATATAGTGACTTATTTCCATCGGGGCCCTAACCAAAACCCAAAATGTAATTCACATGCCTAAACAAAACAGGCATATACAAAATTAGAAATGGAAAGAATGCTAGGTAGAGCAACAACCCTTACAAATGTACAGTGGACCCCCCGAGTTTCGGCAGCATCGACTTTTGCGAAATTCGACTTTCTGCAAAATTTGGCCTCGAGTTTTGTGATTAGGCTCGTGATTCGGCGACCGTCCGGTACCCGTCCGCCCGTCACCGCACACACAAAGCCAGTCTCCCACGCCATTCACGCTCATTGTGCCATTGTTTACCAACACATGACCATCACCCAGCGGGTTCATACGTAATAATCCATTGTTTTTTTGTGATTGCAACTGCTAAATAAATCACCATGGGCCCAAGGAAAGCTAGTGCAAGCCCTTTGGTAAAAGAAAATGAACACAATCCAGAGGGAATCTGAAGGATTTGAAGCAGACCCTGACCCTGCCGACCCTCTGCCTGTTGTGGAAGGTGTTGTGGCATTGGGCAAGTCCATGGGGTTGGAGGTGAGGGACGGGGATGTGGAAGAGTTGGAGGAGGACCACAGGGAAGAGCTAACCACTGACGAACTGCAGGAGCTTCAACTGGAACAGAATCAGACCACAGCTGAGGAACTTGCTTCAGAGGAGGAAAAGAGTGAAGGAGGTGCCTTCTTCGGTGATTAAGGACGTGTGTTCAAAGTGGAATGAGTTGCAAAATTTTGTTGAAAAGTGTCACCCTGCCCAAGCTGAAACAAGCCATATCTACAACATGTTCAATGACAAAACCTTGTCCCACTTCAGGCAAATCAAAGAAATGCCAGAAACAGACCTCTCTGGACAGATGTTTTGTGCGACAGGGGTCCAGTGACTCAAGTTATTCCCAGTGGCATTAAAAGAAGGGAAGTAACCCCAGAAAAGGACTTGCTACCCAAAGTCCTAATGGAAGGAGATTCTTCTTCCAAACACTAGAGTACACCTTCCTCCTATCCCCTCCTGTCTTCCATCCACCCAGGAGTCTTCAGTAAAGGTAAGTGCAATGTTGTTATTTTTTATATGCATGTACTTTATTTCCAATTGTTTTCAGTATGTAAATCTTTATTTGAAAAAAATATTTTATTTTAATATTTTTGGGTGTCGAACAGATTAATTTTATTTCCATTATTTCTTATGGGGAAAATGGTTTCGAGTTTCGTGAATTTCAACTTTCGGCAGGCTCTCTGGAATGGATTAATCGCAAAACTCGGGGTCCACTGTACAGTGGACCCTCAACTAACGCTATTAATCCGTTCCTGAGAGCTCATCGTTAGTCAAAATAATCGTTAGTCAAGTTAATTTTCCCCATAAGAAATAATGGAAATCAAATTAATCCGTGCAAGACACCCAAAAGTATTGAAAAAAAAAATTTTAACACATGAAATATTAATTTTAATACACACAAACTGAAGACATGCACAGTTACATGACACTTACCTTTATTGAAGATCTGGTGATGATTGATGGGATGGGAAGAGGGGAGTGTGTTGATGGTGTTAGTGTTTAGAAGGGGAATCCCCTTCCATTAGGACTTGAGGTGGCAAGTCCTTTTTCAGGGTTACTTCCCTTCTTTTAATGCCACTAGGACCAGCTTGAGAGTCACTGGACCTCTGTCGCACAACATATCTGCCCATAGAGGCCTGTACCTCCCGTTCCTTTATGACATTCCTAAAGTGTTTCACAACATTGTCAGTGTCACCATTAAACACTTGTTCAGGTTTCAGTCCTTCACTGTCTATGTACTCCTTGAATTCCTGCACATATTTTTCAGCTGCTTTTTGGTCCAAACTGGCAGCCTCACCATGCCTTATCACACTATGTATGCCACTACGATTCTTAAATCTCTCAAACCAACCTTTGCTGGCCTTAAATTCACTCACATCACCACTAGTTGCTGGCATTTTTCTAATTAAATCGTCATGCAACTTCCTAGCCTTTTCACATATGATCGCTCGAGAGATGCTATCTCCTGCTATCTGTTTTTCGTTTATCCATACCAATAACAGTCTCTCAACATCTTCTATCACTTGCAATCTCAGTTTGGAAAACATAGTTGCACCTTTGGCAAGAACAGCTTCCTTGATTGCCGTTTTCTTGGCCACAATAGTAGCGATGGTTGATTGGGGTTTTGTGTACAGCCTGGCCAGCTCGGAGATATGCACTCCACTTTCATACTTAGCAATGATCTTTTTCTTCATATCCATAGTAATTCTCACCCCTTTTGCTGTAGGGTTGGCACTAGAAGCTTTCTTGGGGCCCATGGTGACTTATTTTTTGGTGGCATGGCAAATGTGATGTCACACTGCTGACATCAGTTCAGACAAAATAATAGACACTGGCAGGCAGAATAGAGACCAATGAACCCATTCTAAAACCTGCAGCTGTGATGGACTACAACCTCAATATGAGTTTAGTGGGCAAATGTGACATGCAAATTAGGTTTGCCGATTGTGTTCGCAAGAGTTATAAGCAGTACATAAAACTTTTTCCATCTTGATATTTCCATGCTGAATGATTATACAAGTTGAAGACCAACAACAAACACAAATATGTTGAATTTTGTTTGTCAGTCGTCAGACAAATAATATTCAAGTACCAAGGAACAACGCCTGCAATAGACCATCGCCCACAAAATTAACACATGGAAGTGACAGTCACTTGTATGCTCAGAACTACTAAATGCCTCAAATGATGTAGTTGAAGTTTTAGCAGTAAAGATCGAGAACCAAAACTTGGTCATTGTGGTTGTATACAAGCCTCCGAATGCAATGTCCCAACAATTCCAGGAACAGCTTTTGAAACTTTACCACTGTCTGAAAATCTTCCAGCTAGACTCCAGGAGCTCCTGCCCCCAACATCTTGCTCTTGGGGGATTCAACCTAAGGCACCTAAAATGGAGGAATATAGGAAATAATGTTGTAGCAGAGATAACACCAAGAGGCAGCTCAGATAAAAACTCGCACACACACACACACGAGCTTTAAATCTCTGCACCAAATTCACCTTAAACCAGCAAATAATAGAGCCTACAAGACTGGAGAATGCGCTGGACCTCATTTTCACTAACAATGATGATCTGATATGAAATGTCATCACATCTAAAACAATATACATACTCAGATCACAACATAAAAGAGGTCCAGATGTATGCAGAGCTCCCCCAGACCAAGAAAATATGATCAGTCAAGAAGGAGCCTTCACCAAATTCAATTTTAGTAACAAAAACACAAGGTGGGACCAAGTAAACCAAGTCCTAAATAACAAACTGAGAATACAGATTAAGTAACACAGATCCTACCCTATGTCTAGAACAAATTAACTCTGTGGCACTTGAGGTATGCTCAAGGCATATTCCTTTAAGAAAAAGGAGGAGATGATGTAAACTAGAAAGAGAAAGGTTCTACCTTTACAGGCAAAAAGCAAAGAATAACAACAGCGGTTAAAAGGGGCCAATATATCTGCAATACGTAGGGAGACACTGATTAGAGAAATAGTAAACATCGAACTAAAGCTAAAGGAATCTTATAGATGAGTCAAGAAACATGAGAAGACCTAAAAGCTATAAATGAAATTGCAAGAAACCCAAAGTATTTTTCTCATGCCAAATCAAAGTCTAGAACATCATCCAGTATTGGGCCCCTACTTATACAGGATGGGTCCTACACAGATGACAGCAAGGAAATGAGCGAGCTACTAAAGTCCCAATATGACTCGGTTTTTAGCGAGCCGCTAACAAGAGAGTCGAAGATCTAATTTTTTATGAGACGGAATTTGGTGTAGACACGCCTATCTGATATCCTGACGCCAAATGACTTCAAACAGGCAATAAATGACATGCCCATGCACTCTGCCCCAGGCCCAGACTCGTGGAACTCCGTGTTCATCAAGAACTGCAAGAAGCCCCTATCATGTGCGTTCAACATCCTATGGAGAGGAAGCATGGACACTGGGGTCGTCCCACAGTTACTAAATACAACAGACATAGCCCCACTCCACAAAGAGGGCAGTAAAGCAATAGCAAAAAACTACAGACCGATAGCGCTAACATCCCATATCATAAAAATCTTTGAAAGGGTTCTAAGGAGCAAGTTCACCACCCATCTAGATACTCATCAATTACATAACCCAGGGCAGCATGGGTTTAGAGCAGGTCGCTCCTGTCTGTCCCAACTACTGGATCACTACGACAAGGTCCTAGATGCGCTAGAAGACAAAGAATGCGGATGTAACATACACAGACTTTGCAAAAGCCTTCGACAAGTGTGACCTGGAGTTACCTGGAGTTTACCTGGAGAGAGTTCCGGGGGTCCAACGTAGATGGATCTATAATTTCCTGACAAATAAAACACAAATAGTAGTAGTCAATAGAGTAAAGTCTGAGGCGGTTACGAAGAAAAGCTCTGTTCCGCAAGGCACAGTACTCGCTCCGATCTTGTTCCTCATCTTCATATCGGACATGGACAGGGATATAAGCCACAGTGCTCTCTCTTCCTTTGCAGATGACACCCGAATCTGCACGTCTTCCATTGAACACACTGCAAGGCTCCAGGCGGACATGAACCAAATCTTTAAATGGGCTGCAGAAAACATGAAGTTCAACAAAGAGAAATTTCAATTACTCCAATATGGTAAAAGTGAGGAAATTAAAATTTCATCGGAGTATAAAACCAATTCCAACCACACAATAGAGCGAAAAACTAACGTCAAAGACCTGCGAGTGATCATGTCGGAGGATCTCGCCTTCGAGGACCATAACATTGTATCAATCGCATCTGCTAGAAAAATGACAGGATGGATAATGAGAACCTTCAAAACTAGGGATGCCAAGCCCATGATGACACTCTTCAGGTCACTTGTTCTATCTAGGCTGGAATATTGCTGCACACTAACAGCACCTTTCAAGGCAGGTGAAATTGCTGACCTAGAAAATGTACAGAAAACCCTCACGGCACGCATAACCGAGATAAACACCTCAATTACTAGTACCAAACTTTTATACAAAAATTCACTCCCTACGAAAACAAAAGACTCGGTAAACGATGCAACATCCCCCCAATGAAAAGCAGGGGTGTTACTAGCATGTGAAGAGAACACAGTAAGTGTCAGGGGCCCAAGACTATTCAACTGCCTCCCAGCATGCATAAGGGGGATAACCGATAGACCCCTGGCTGTCTTCAAGCAGGCACTGGACAGGCACCTAAAGTCAGTACCTAACCAGCTGGGCTGTGATTCATACACTGGATTGCATGCAGCCAGCAGTAACAGCCTGGTTGATCAGGCCCTGATCCACTATGAGGCCTGGCCACAGACCGGGCCGCTGATCCCCGGAACTCTCTCCGGGTAAACTCCAGGTACCCTCTCGTCTGAGGCCTGGTGATCACTACCCCATACAACTGCCTCCTACTACTTTCATGAAAACTGCTCAGAAGAGGCATTATGTCTGTGCACATACCACAAAATGACCACAAAAATGAAGACACACTTGTTTTGTATGAGGAGTGTACAATACCACTGTGCATATACCCATGTTTCAAATAATTCCACACACTACAACAGTTCTAGGAAAGTGTCCAGTGACTGTACATTTGTATACATATTATAGAACAAAAGTAATAAACAATTTTTTGTATTGTGTAAACAAGTTTTGTAAACAATATTGATAATAAAGTTTGTGCGCTTATTGTGTTGCATACGAGTGTATATACGTGTACATTGCACCTTACTCTGGTCTCACAGGCCACGTAAGTTACCCGAAAATATATAGTAGTGGAAAAAACAAGAAACCTTCAAATAGGCGTAAAAAAAGTTTATCGGGTGAGCAGCATTTGCCGCTGTTGCCACACGCAGCTCATTTTCTGCCAACTTTACACCTCTACCTCGGTAAGTGCTGATCGCAAACAAAAAAAATGGTAGGCTTAAAACACTCCACAAATTAATCCCAACATTTTGGCAAGAATTTTTTTTTTCTCAAATATTTTCCGACAGGTAGACAGTTTCAGAACTGGGTTTGTGACCGTTAATGGGTTAATAAGGAGATATTGGAGTAAGGAATACACTCGCTGGATGGTTTGGAGTCGTATAATATGGTTCTATAATTTGAAAATAAAATAAGACGCTTATAAACTAAATTTAGAACTATGAAACAATGTGAAAAAAATTTAGGACTTCTGGCTAGTAGCAGTCTGCAGTCAAGACAATAATGCACAAGTGTTTGCAATAGAGCTAATAGAATTCTTGGCTTCATATCATGAAGCATAAATAACAGGAATCCTTAGGTTATACTTTAATTTTATGTATACACAAATAACCCGAATAGTATAGGAGAGAGGAGCTCACAACAACGTTTCAGTCGGACTTGAACCATTTACAAAGTCACACTGATTTTGTGAATGGTGTATTGTTCCAGTCACAGTACTGTGCCTTTTGTTCTTAATTTTATATATCCTTGGTAATGGTGTCCTGTGGCCTGGAAGGCAACGCTTTCACGTCAGTGTCCGTGGTTCAATCACTGGTAAAGGTGGAAACATTGGGCATGTTTTCTTACACCTGCTGTCCCCGTTCACCTAGCAAGCAAGCAAATAGGTACCTGGGTTTTAGTAAACTGGTGTGGGTTGCATACTGGGGGACAAGATTTAAGGAACCCAATAGAAATAAAAAAAGACAGCCCCTTGATGATGCACCGCCTTTCTTGAATGATCTTGGGTTAAAAATCCGAACAAAATCTTATCTAATCTTAATGCTTCATTTAGATGTTGAAAAGTTCTTGTCTCCATATTAGAGAATATACAGATGCACTGGAAAACACAAGGATGACGAAGTTAATCCTGTGTATCAGAACTTTTGCCTACGAGGACAGACTAAGGATATTAAAACTGCATTCTCAAAAGGTGTACAATTAGGAGGATTATATGTACTAGTTAAGGGTACAAACGGAAGACAGGAATAAAGGGGGTATACACGATACTGAAAATACCTAACCAAGACAGGACTTGCATCACTGGGCTCAAGATGGAAAATATAAGTTTAGAAAAAATACAGGAAAGCCCTGGTTTGGTAACAGTTTTGGATGTGTGGAACAAACTCCTGAGTAGCATCAATGAAGTAAGAACCTTGGGCAGCTTTAAAAAGAGTTTGGAGAAATACACTGGTGGAGGGGGGAGGGGGAATAGACCTGCTTAGCATAAGCCAGTAGGCCTGCTGCAGTGCATGCCCTTTCTTATGTTCTTAACTTTATGTGAATTAGTCATTTCACCAATTTCCAGGTCAATTAGCCAAATGAATGCTGGCATTATTGGAATATTTACACTGGTGGGCCAGCAAGTAACATGCATAGTGTGCCCTGGCACAATTTACTCAATACATTCTACCTGCCATAAAAATGAATCTATTGCTAATGTCGACCCCCCCCCCCCCCAAAAAAAAAAAAATACGTGAATGAGGAAATTTCTTGCCGACCTATAAAATGCTGGTTACAGAAATGAAAAAGGATCAATTCAAAAACTGGTCCTAGTTACATTCAAAATACTAAACAGGCCTATAAGATTATTCTAATATATAGAGCCTAATATAATAAGTAGGTTTATTTAGCCACAGATACACAAGATAAGATTTTATTTGGATTTTTAACCCTGGAGGGTTAGCCACCCAGGATATCCCAAGAAAGGGAGTGCATCATCGAGGGACTGTCTTAGTTCCACTGGGGCCCTGAAATATTGTCCCCCAGGATGCGACCCACACAAGTAAACCAGGTACCTACCAGCTTGCCAAGTGATGGGACAACAGAAGGTGTAAGGAAACATGCCCAATGATTCCAAACTTTCCACAGATCGAATCACAGACACTCAGTATATGAAGCGAGAGCATTGCTTACCAGGCGGCCATGAGTCACCTATCAATGTAAATTACCTACTAAATGCCTTATTTCCGGAATGGAAATATAAACACATATGCATTTCCATTGGGGTTGCTGGGAAATACAATTATAGAGCTGTCCAGTACCAGCTGGGAGTCAGAAAAAGCTAAGTTTCTTAATACTATTTCTCGAAAAAACCTTTCTTGCAAACTATCAAGGTGACAAAATCAATATTAAAATTTACGCGAGTTATGCTTATTTTAAATGTAGGTCAACATAAAATTTAGGGTAGTACCTTAAAAAAAAAAAAAAAAAAAAAAAAAAAAACCGTTAACACCTTTTCGAATGCGTCGTAGTGGTTTGGGGTCAAGTCCCTGGATGCATTATGATTATTTTTATCGACTACTGCCAGTTTCTTAGCTGGTGTGATATTCAAAAGTCCATCAATAATCCATCAATAATGGTGCAATATTTTATAATGAAATCTTAAATATAACCGTCACAATTCTTTAAATCCATTACTTTTTTGCTTTATATCTTGAAGAAAACGTTACATTAATTCATTATACAAAACCAATGGAATATTACATGGAATGCTCCGGTGTCTAGTAACCATGAGAAGACAAAATTACAACCAAAATGGCGTCGCCAGCCCCAGCATCGCGCGGTAAAGCCGTGGCCACCACACCACCTTAAATATCTTCCCTCCACCACTAACACTCACCACCAAGCTAGCACACACCTACCACACTACAAACACTTACCCCTCTCTCTCGTCAAACGGCAATAAGGCTTTCTCTCGGGTAAAAAGTGGAGGAGCGTAGGCGAAGACGCATCAGCGTGGAGATTCCAGACAACACAAGCTGAGTAGCGCCGCCCAGCACCACCCAGTACCACCCAACACCACCCTAGTACCACCCTAGTACCACCCCTATACCACCCTAGAACCACCCCAACAACAACCACTAAGGTTCTTATCCAACAAAATATATATATTATTATTTTCTTTCCCCTTTCTACCTCTAAATTTAACTGTTTGAAAATTCTCATTTATTTTATATTTTTACTCATATTTCTTTCAGTATATTTTAAACTTATAAATATATATTATAGTATTCTTGTAACAGTATGTAGCTTTAAGAATAATAAATTTTATTTCCAGTTCGTATACAGACACAAGAATATAAAAATGGCGAAATAAAATAAATAAATAAAATAAAGATCAACTTGTCCATGCTAGGTAATAAGTTTATTTAGGTACGGGTTCACATTAGTTTATTTTGGTAATGGTACACATAAATACAGTTACAAAAATTATTATACATGGCAGCCTATATGTAGATTACCTAGGATAACCCCCAAAAAAGTCAGTGACTTATTTCCATTTAGGTCCTTGTAGTATCTCATTATTTGATAAGTATTAAAAAGATCCCAATAGAAATAAGTCACTTTGTTTTTTTGGGGTTATCCTGGGTTCTCTACACATATGCTGCTATGTATGATAATCTATTTAACTGTATTTGTGTATACCTGAATAAACTTACACACATATGCAACAGTTACGTATTTGTATTCCGAAACGTTTCGCCTACACAGTAGGCTTCTTCAGTCGAGTATATAAGATGTGATAATGTTGGTAGAATTACCGACAATATGTAAAGTAAAAGGACACAAGTGCAACTAATGTGACATTTTATTGTTGCAACGTTTCGCTCTCCAGGAATGTCGCGTGGGTAGTAGTAGTAGTAGTAGTAGTAGTAGTAGTAGTAGTAGTATAGTAGTGATAATAATTGTAGTGAGACGGGTTGGGTTAGAGAAAGAACTATCACTATCTCCAAATCATCACTTACCTGTACATCCAACAACTTCAACCAGAACAACAGCTTCTGTAACATAGCAGAACCCCTCGGCAAGAAACTTCTTCATCGCTATCCCACATTAAGAACATAAGAATCGAGGAACACGTTTCCTGAATAAAGATTCCCATATGTTGTTTAAGTGTCTAAACTGGAGAGAGAAAGACGCTCCCTCTACAGAAGACGACGAAGAGTCACTGAGCTCCTCAGGAGTGCTAGAATATCTGATACACGAAAGGAGGCGCTGACCAGGGAAGTGGAAACTATCGAACTTAAGTTAAATGACTCTTACAGGAACCAGGAGAGGCAGGAGGAGCTTAAAGCTATTAGTAAAATTGAAAGAAATTCAAAATATTTCTTTTCATATGCCAAAAACAAGGCAAATACTACATCTAGTATCGGGCCCTTACTCAGACAGGATGGGACTTACACAGATGACAACAAGGAAATGAGTGAAATATTGAAATCCCAGTATGACTCTGTGTTTAGTGAACCACTAATCAGTCTGAGGATCGACGACCCAAATGATTTCTTCATGAATGAGCCTCAAAACTCCATAAATGTATGCCAGATTTCCGACATCACCCTAACTCCGACAGATTTCGAAAAAGACATTGACAACATGCCCTTGCACTCAGCCCCGGGCCCAGACTCGTGGAACTCTGTATTCATTAAGAATTGCAAGAAACCCCTCTCGCGTGCCCTAAGTACACTATGGAGGAGGAGCTTGGACATGAGTGAAATTCCACAGTCACTTAAAACAACGGATATAGCCCCACTCCATAAAGGTGGCAGCAAAGCATTAGCTAAGAACTATAGACCAATATCTCTGACGTCCCACACCATAAAAATCTTTGAAAGAGTGCTGAGAAGCAGGATTGCAAATCACCTGGATTCCCAAAATCTGCCCAATCCAGGGCAACCTGGGTTCAGGGCAAGTCGCTCCTGCCTCTCATAACTACTGGATCACTATGATATGGCCTTGGATGCACCGGAAGAAAATCAGAATGCAGATGTAATATACACAGACTTTGCAAAAGCATTTGACAAATGTGATCATGGCGTAATAGCCCATAAAATACGTGCTAAAGGAATAACTGGGAAAGTGGGGAGATGGATCTTCAACTTCCTAACAAATCGAACACAAAGAGTAGTGGTCAACAGAGTTAAATCGGAGGCTGCCATAGTGAAGAGCTCTGTTCCACAAGGCACAGTACTCGCCCCATCTTATTCCTCATCCTCATATCAGACATAGACAGATATACACCACAGCACCGTATCATCCTTTGCGGATGACACTAGGATCTGCATGAGGCTGTCATCTGCTGAGGACGCGGTTAACCTCCAAGAAGATATAAACAAAGTTTTCCAGTGGGCAACGGTAAACAATATGATGTTCAATGAGGACAAATTCCAACTACTCCGTTATGGAAAACTGGAGGAGATAACAACTAGAACAGAGTATACTAGAGACTCTGGCCATACAATAGAGCGGAAAAATAATGTAAGGGACCTGGGAGTAGTAATGTCTGACGATCTCACTTTCAAGGATCACAACAGTGCCACGATCGCAAGTGCAAAGAAAATGATAGGATGGATAATGAGAACGTTCAAAACGAGAGATGACAAGCCAATGATGATCCTTTTCAAATCACTTGTTCTCTCTAGGCTGGAATACTGCTGTACATTAACATCTCCATTCAAAGCAGGGGAAATTGCAGATCTAGAGAGTATACAGAGATCCTTTACTGCACGTATAAGTTCTGTCAAGCACCTTAACTACTGGGAACGCTTGGAAGCACTTGACTTGTACTCGTTGGAACGCAGGAGGGAGAGATATATCATAATCTACACTTGGAAAATCCTGGAAGGAATGGTCCCAAATCTGCACACAGAAATCACTCCCTACGAAAGTAAAAGACTGGGCAGGCGATGCAAAATGCCCCTAATTAAAAGTAGGGGCGCCAATGGTACACTAAGTGAAAACACCATAAGTGTCTGGGGCCCAAGACTGTTCAACAGCCTCCCATCAAGCATTAGGGGAATTGCCAATAAGCCCCTGGCTGCCTTCAAGAGAGAGCTGGACAGATACCTAAAGTCAGTGCAGGATCAGCCGGGCTGTGGCTCGTACGTTGGACTGCGTACGGCCAGCAGTAACAGCCTAGTTGATCAGGCCCTGATCCACCGGGAGGCCTGGTCATGGACCGGGCCACGGGGGCGTTGATCCCCGGAATAACCTCCAGGTAACCTCCAGGTCGGTTTTTTCAAACCATTCATCACAACACTGTAGAAGGTTTACTCATATACTTATCCAATCTCGGAAGATGCAGTTACATGCAGCTTTCTCCACCTGATCCACCATTCTCATCCTATAAATACTCACATATGTTTTATTTTTATTATTATCACACTGGCCGATTCCCACCAAGGCAGGGTGGCCCGAAAAAGAAAAACTTTCACCATCATTCACTCCATCACTGTCTTGCCAGAAGGGTGCTTTACACTACAGTTTAAACTGCAACATTAACACCCCTCCTTCATATGTTTTATAAGAACATAAGAAAGGAGAAACACTGCAATAGGCCTGTAGATCTGTTTGTGACTTGATAAAACCTACTGCGTGAGCGAAACTTTGTAAATAAAGGATCACATTATACTGCACGTGTTTATATTTCCATTGTATCGGTATTTTATACCATTTATTTCCAGGATATTACGCATTCTGGAGACCGCCGTAACATATTGACCGGGATACCTGGTCGTGGACCGGGCCGCGGGGGCATTGATCCCCGGAATACCCGCCAGCTAGACTCCAGATAGGTAGGTCCTTGATAAATTAGACACATGTGCAACACTTTGTTATCTTTAATGATACCCAAGTGTTGCACGTGTGTCTAATTTATCAATTTGTCGGTTTTCTGAACCATTCATCTACAGGTAGGTCCTTCTCCAACCCAATCCGTCTCCCCACAATTACTACCACCACTACCACTACTACTATCGACGGGACACTCCACCTGACTACTGCCACTATATATACTCATTTTCTTAGTTATCTCTGTATTAGGACTGAAGAAGCCACTCGTGGCGAAACGTTTCCCTTAATAAATGTCCTCAATTGTACATACATCTTGCTCTCCGACACAGCAACATCATGGGATCTTCAAAACTTGTCTAATCTATAGACACGACCTATTTCTACTAGTGTCTTTGTTCGCTGGTGATTCCGTCTTCCACTGCTCCACCTCGTCTCTCATCAGTATATAAGCTCCATCTTCGCAAGTATGCTGCATAACTAAATGGTTATAACTGACCATAATTTTTAAAGGGTGGACCGGTAAGCCAGCGGAAGGCCTCGGTTAGATGACCAAAAGCTCCAACGGCGGGTCACCATCTGACTAAGGCCCGCGTCAGGAAACACCTGACGTATTTCCTGACAAACCTTACCTAACCTAACCTAATATGCTGCAGACTCAAGGCTGAGGGACTGATTACCTCAAACTCCTCTTATTCCACCTTTTTCTGCATTGGACTGAAGAAGCTACTGTGTGGCGAAACGTCCCCAGAAAAAAGGTATCCAAATATTGCAAAAGTGTTTCATTTATCATGTACAAGATACAGTAATTCCAATGGAGGGCAAACAAGATACAGTTTAGACATACGTTAATATTAATGTGATTCGCAGAGTATTTACTTGAGCCTGAACCAATTGGTTAGCACAGTTAAAAATAATGCGTTTCACGCGATTGATTATGGGCCAGTAGGCCTTCTGCAGTGTTCCTCCATTCTTATGTTCTTAGAGATTCGCGCTTGTGCCACTCCTTGCGATGAATAACCCAGATGCGTTTAGCGTGTGATCATATTTTCCGTTTTTGTTTATAAACCATTATTGAAATAGTTCATTGACAACTGAAGTCTCCTTTCCTTAATATAGTCGAAGGTACTCCTTAGAAGTTAAGACTACGTGTGGCAACTGGGACTTCCTGTCTTATCTCTCCGACTGCGCCAAGTTCTTGCTGGATGGTGGGTCAGTTCTGTCATCGCTTGAGTCCTGCATACGATGTATT